GACTGTCGAAGCTTTCCCTCCGCTGTGAACCTGCTTGGCCTTCGAAAGCTTGGGGTTGGCGCTGACCTTCTCCCTGAGCTGCTCCTCCTGCTTCAGCCACTCGATGATACGCTTCCGAGGCACCTGGAGAACTTTCGTCGCGCCGTTGTTTCCCAGCGGTTGACCGTCGCACGGGCAGATGTCCAGTGTGTAGGCCGCCGCGTTCAGTTTGAACCGGATCGGGCAGCTCCCTTTCCCTCCCACTGCTCCTGACCGCTCGATCGGGAAGTTTGGCTCCGGGTACGCGCGTTTGCCGTTGCTGTTTTTGACGGGGTCGTTGGCGGCTAGCATCTCATCGATAGCCTCGCCGGTTGCCTTCGGGTCCGCAGCGGCAGCTCCCTGATCCGCAGAGGAAGGACCGCCAGCACTCGCCTGTGAAGCCTGTGAGGCGTCGCCAAGTCCCGCGCTTGCACCCTCCGACATCGTAGCCGCGCGTTGCGTGTGGTCGAGCCCGCAGCTCTGTCCCGGAACTGTTGTGGTGGCAATTCCCCGAGACTCGGTTGTGTGTGCAGCTACTAACTTGTCTGTTGGTTGTGTTGTGATCGTGTTGCAGCAATACCAAACACGCGAAGTGCTGCTATCCCCTGTGGTTTTCAATGTTAGGATCGCACATATCGGGGTCTTGGCACAGGGATGTGCGTTCGAAAGTCGCCGTACCAGCCGCTTTAGATTTAAACAGCACCGCGCATACCCCGAAAAAAAAAGAAATAAAAATACAACGCAATATATATCGCCCCGGTGGTCTAGTAGGTAACCTATCAGCCTGCTGAGGACCGGGTCATGGGTTCGAGTCCCGGCAGAGTGAGTTTTTTTCTCGCTAAAAAAAATCCTGGTCTAGGATGAAAGCGACGCGTTGCAAAGCTCGTTGTTAGTCTAAACAATAATCGACTTTGTTTGTAAGTCGAGAGGGAAGGGATTGCTGTACCCTTCTCGCGATAAAATACCTCAGGCAGGAACCGCAGGAGGGGGTCCAGTCCCCCCCTCCCATGTGATCCCGGTTGGGTCGTCTAGCTAGTAGAAGTGGAGGATAGGGGTCAGAGGGGCAGACGACAGAAGAATCCGATTATGGGAGACAGAATATATATACGATGGCTCTGAAAGGAGTCTTCAAGGAACGACTTCTTCAGATCGTTTCGGTGGCTACACAGGTGGCCATATCTCGGCGAGTGCAGAGGTACAAGCTCGCATTGCGCGGGCGTCAAGACGCCGAAAACAGGCGAACAAGATCGACCTCGGACCAGTCAACGCCAATGATATGGGGATGGAGTGTAGACGCATCGTAGAACGCGTTTTCGTTTGAAGTTGACGTCTTGTTTGAGAGTAGATGTGACAGATTTGCGTAGAATAGGGTAAGATGTTATCATGAACGGAGATGAAAGGGCTTTTCCAACACGGAGATGTAGCATGGATCAAAGCATTTGTTGGATTTCAGCTTTTACAAGCGGACATCAACGCAGTAGTATTTTAGCAAGCTTACGAACGCATATAGGATACCATCAGGATTGTCATTGGTAAGTTGAAGAGGAGATACTTTTACGATGTAAATGACAGTAGAAATAAGTCCTACATATGTTGTTGTACTTCGTATTGGTTTAATATTCATGTAGAGTATGAGACATTAAGTGAAATTTTTCTGAGGTACATCTGCAATTGTCGGAAGGCAAAAAAAAATATATACATATATATATATATATGGATCGGGCTCTTGGCACAGGGATGTGCGTACCGCCAAACGCCATCCTGCACGCGGCACACGGACGGACACCGATATGGCGGTGCAGACAAGACGGTAGACTATATTGTGGCGAGACCTACCAGCGTAGTCTATATATTTCGAACGGCGTGAAAGAGGAAAACTCGCACCACAAAGATTTGCACACAACTTGTACAATGTACATGTTGTGTTATTGTTTTTGTTATTTTTTTTCATTGGCACGAAGCGGGCATCGCACCTCTGGTTTGTCGTGTGCCCAGTGAGCAGCGCTGTTGGAAGAGGCGGCACTCAGATGTGGGCACTCGCCCCAATCGCAAAAGCACGTCGTCTACCAACGAGCCCTGATCGGTCAACTCAAGCGGTTGCGGTCGAAGACCCCCCGCAAAGCCCAACGTAGCACCTCCTCACGTGCCCGGCACAGCGCGGTGTAGCACGGCGAAGGATAGGCCGCGATGGTCGCGTCCACGAACGTGAACGTCTGGCGGTCAGGTTGAGGAGTGGAGGTAAAAGCGGGCCCACCGGTGAGCTCGCAGCCGCCGTGGGGCAGAGAGAGCCACCGCCAAGCAGTCGCCGAAGCCGCCGCGGCGGAACGCCGCGTATTGCGAGGCGGCCTGTTACTCTCTACTACTGCTGTGATGGCGGAAGCTGCGGTGCGTTGGATCAAGAGGCAAATCCTGAACAATGGTTTTCTAGATTCTGTCTGTTTTAAAGGTAGAGTCATTTCCCAACATGCTTCAAGGAACATCTGACTCTCCCCGATTTCGTTCCGAAATCTGGATTCGTCTCAAATTCGAGATTACTCCGCAATACCGTTGACACTTTCTACAATTCAAATCCCGTAACACTACCCTCCTACTGCTGTGATGGCGGAAGCTGCGGTGCGTTGGATCAAGAGGCAAATGTTGAACAATGGTTTTTCTAGATTATGTTTGTTGTGAACACGCTGCACTCAAGTACGTTTAATGCTTGCATTGTGAAGTACCAAGATTGAACCAAGGGGGTGTACCTCATTCTCTCCGGCCCGAGATGGTGACTCCTAGTCTCAGTTGTTACCTCGCATAGCGCGCAGAGGGAGTGGAGGACTCCAGAATATCTGTCGTTGATTTCTATTAATTTATTGACTTGCGGACCCCTCGGGGCTATTTTATTGGAGTGTACCTTTTTAGGGTCAGTTAGCCTGCGACCACGGGAATCGACCGCGTCGAGTGTTGGATCAGTACGGACATACGAAGGTACTGGGTAGAGAGAGATCGGAACGGTTTTACATGTATGTGAAGACAACAACAACAACAACAACAACAACAACAACAACAACAACAACAACAACAACAATCTACCGAGAATAAAACCGGTGTGGCCCTGGGAGAAGAGATAAAAACAGCCCCGTTTATGGCGGATGCCAGCTGAAAAAAACTTTGAAAAATAATATATAAAGAGGTGCTCAATTATATGAGGCTTCCGATGGTCTTTTGTTTGGGAAAGTTGGCCCGTGGCCACGGGAACCGACGGCGCCAATTGTTGGACCAGTACGGACAGGAGAAGTTGTACTGGGTAGAGAAAACGAAACGGTTTGTGAAGACAACAACAACAACATTGTGCGGGCGCCAACAGCTGTAGACTGCTGTATGTTGTTGTGTGGCCGCATGTTGACTTTTTGAACTGTCGGTCCCAGGCACCGCGTTATTCGCGAACAACTTGAAAGACGAGAGGATCGGTGCTGCTGTGAAAATGAAGACCATAATTTGCTAGGGATGGGGAATACATCAGTCTGCCGTTCTTTGTCAATTCGCTCGAACTACCGCGCTCGCTCACGCGGAAGCTCGCCTGCCCGTGGTGCATGTTCTCACCTGGATATACTTCGGCTCTTTTCAGCGCTCGGGCCAGGCGCGCCTCCAGAGTCCAATGTGTATGAATGTACAGTCGAGGTCCCTGTTTAAGGCCGCATATTTAAGGCCGGTTGCCCTGTTTAAGGCCGGTGAAATCCCTTGGCACCGATTTCATTAAGGCCGCCACCGGCCTTAAACAGGGAGGTCCCTGTATAGGGCCGCTTTGGGCCTCTTCTCACACTCAATAAGGCCGGTTGTGACGCACACAGGCTCATTCAGCCACCTCTTGCAGTCCTACGTGCAACATCCAGACCCCCACCGTCGCACGCACGACAGAAAAACACCTTCCGCACCCCTACCACGCAACCACATGTTATACAGCACATACTGCTGTAGGATACATATGGGCAGGAAGAATATATGAACGGAGATGAAAGGGCTTTTCCAACACGGAGATGTAGCATGGATCAAAGCATTTGTTGGATTTCAGCTTTTACAAGAGGACATCAACGCAGGAGTATGTTAGCAAGCTTACGAACGCATATAGGATACCATCAGGATTGTCATTGGTTTTATTTCAAGTTGAAGAGGAGATATTTTTTCGATGTAAATGACAGTAGAAATAAGTCCTACATATGTTGTTGTACTTCGTATTGGTTTAATATTCATGTAGAGTAAGTTATGTATGAGACATTAAGTGAAATTTTTCTGAGGTACATCTGCAATTGTCGGAAGGCAAAAAAAAAAATATATATATATATATGAACGCTATGCCCTACCTACCATGCACCAGGTGTACCATTCTCTTCTACTGCTGTAAGCATCACTGATACGCTACCCCAAAGGGTCAAATAAGTTTGTTTTTTTTTGTAGTATTTATTTCTCCTTAAATTCCAAAAACCAGCAAGCTGTCAATAGACACTGCGCCGTGTCCCCTGTGAAGGTTACATCTTACAGTACACGACACTACGTACGGAGGGATTCTCCCCGATATTTTGTCGTTGACCCAGTAGAGAACTACAGGGGATGTATTGTAAAATGTAGATTTACCTACACAGATGTTTTTGTGCTTAGCACCAGCTGGCATCACTGATAAATCATCAGTGTATAGACTTATAAAGACTCGAAATAAGTCCAGTACCCAGCCGGTTTTCCTCCACTTACTGAATGAAATGACTCCACCACATCCCGTTCGACTGTGGGTATATCTCGAATGGGTAGTCTTTCTGTGCGTGTATTTATTTCTCCTTAATTAATATACTCATCTGTAGGTTGCTGTACGTACATGTCACGTACGTGCGGAGTAATTGTACGTGCGGAGTAATTGATACCGGTTGGATATGTAACGTAAAACATGATGAGAAGTTCAGAAGTTCGGAACATGCTTTCCAGCGAGGAGTCTAAGCGAAGGGTTTATGCGTACAGCAGTACAGTCAGTATCTATGCGAGGAGAAGTTCAGGAATAATTTGGGGTTGGCAAAGCGATGCCCACATCGCCCACTCCCAACTTGGCCCACCCTCTGATTCACAGCCCTGACAGCAGCTGCGGTATGTTTGTTCGAAGCAACAAGAAAACACAGCAGTAAAGGGTATACCATGCCGTGTGCGGCTGGTGAGCGGTGTCTTTTGCAAGGACGGACGCCTGTAGCCCCTGACGGTCGCGAATGTGCCTTCTATACTTGATGGTTCATTTTCGGCGAAGCTTGGGACTCTATTTTTTTTTTGTCGTGCATGTGTTAGCTTGTGTAAGATTGTAGTCGAGAGTGGGGGGGGCTGGATTGAAGCGAAGTTGTTACATGTGACGAAAACAAACAAAAATCCAAATGGGCGAGGCGCTTGATCGAACATCGTTCAACTATACGGCCCCGTTGCTGCTCTACAATAAATACTCACCCAAAGCGGGGCCATGACACTGAAATTGCGCACCCCTGCTACCTCCAGCCGGCATGTTGTAGGCCTTCTTCATGCCCATGTAAGTAAGCTCTGTGTAGAGTTTAGATGCATCCTTCAACAACTCAAGAATTCTCAGTAAGGCCCGGGTACCGGCCATAATGAGGAATTGTAGATCCTTTTTAAGACCGATATCGGCCTTAACAAGGGACGTTCCGAATACGGCCGGGTGCCCTGATTAAGGCCGGTATTTTGCCGTGGCACATGGCGGCCTTAAACAGGGACCTCGACTGTACTTCGCACCGCCTGCTCCTCCTTGCTCTTTCCTACCACCGCCAGCCTACGCGCGTGCTGAAATTGCTGCTGCCGCCGCTTATCTTTTGGAGTGTGTGTATGAGAGAGAGAGGTGACGGGCAACATGTAGTGCGCGGCCAAACCTGCCACAACCTGACAGAACGCATCTGGAGGAATATCACCAGCTCATCAACCATTGTTTTGCCCGCTGATGGATCTACGACAGCAGAATCTACGAAACAGCAACCGACATGACCGACATCCCCGGTGGGCGATTTTTCGTTCAGTCCCATTTCCGCGCGCGCTACAACAGCCAACCAGACTCAAAGCCACACGCCGGGTGTAGAGGCGCTCTTGATGGTGCTCCGATCGAGAGGCTCGAAGCAGCAGAGGGCTCTGGCACTGTACCTCTACATACAGACGACAGCAGTGCTGGTAGCACCGCGTAAAACACTTTGGCCGGGACCGGGACGATCCAAGACCCAGAGGAGCCAGTGGTGTTGTTGTAGTCGACATGTACGTACATAGTCTACATCAGTAGACTAGTGAAGATACCGAGCGCACAACAGCCGTGGAATCATCGAAAACATCACGCGTAACAGCAGCTGGGATGTAGTCACCATCGATTGTTGTTGTTACTATGGCCAGCTGTAGTACACCGCGATGAGACCTTTGCACAGCGCATCAAGACGTGCCCCGGATCTCGTGGTACGTGCAAACTCGAGCCTTGATGAGCCAGGGCTTCCTCGGAGAATCGGTAACCTTTACTTAACACAATTT